TCACAGGGATCTGTTTAGGTTTTTCTCTCCCTGGGCCCATGTTCCAGAAATTGCCCCAAACAGAAAACCAAGGCCACTATAGTTTTATTCCCTTCTTCTTCAGGGATCCCAGTGCTGGGCTGTCTATTGTTCAAAGTCTTAAAACAGTTATTTCATGCATTTTGTCTGGTATTATACTTGTTTGCAGGGGGTTAGGTCCAGTCCTTTTTTTTTTTTTAATGTATTGGTTTTGTATGTATAGGTCCAGTCTTTGTTACTCCATCATGACCAGAAGCAAAAGTCTCAAGAGGTGATATATGAACAGGGACTGAATGAAGTGAGCAAATATGTGATTTGGAGAGCTAAGCTAAAGCACTTCAGGCTGAATGAACAACAAGAACAAAGGCCACTTTTGAAGAACAGCAAGGAGCAAAAGTGAGAGTGAGTAGTAGGAGATGAGGACAGGTAAAAAGACAATGGACAAATCATGCAGCATCTTGTAGGCCATGGTAAAGAGCCAGGATTTTAAATGCAATGAGAACGCTATTTGTGAGTTTGCACAAGGGAAGTAATTTGATCTGACATGTTTTAAAAGAATCACTTTGGTTACAGTGAGGAAAGGAGACTATAGATATGAGTGGAAATAGCGGCATCAACTAGGAGGCTACTGTTGTGGTATAAGTGCAAGGTGATGGCTGCCTAGACTGTGATAGTGGCAGTGGAGCTGGTTAGAAGTGGTTACATTTTAAAGCCCATTTGCAAGAGTTGCTTATGGAATGGATGTAGAAAGGAGGAAAAATAATAACTAAGGATGACTCTGATTTTTGTTCTAAGCAACTAATTGAATGCTATTCATGTACTGAAGCAGGAAAGACAATGGAGAGTTGTTTCAAGAGGGAAATCAAGAGTTTCATTTTGGACATGTCAAGTGGGAGATGCCCACTAGAAATCCAAGAAAGAAGATTAAGTGTGCAGTTGGTTATACCAGTTTGGAGCTCAAGGAGAGGTCAAGACTGGAAATACAAATTTAGGAGTCAAGGGCACATAGCTTGATCCTTAAAAGCCCTGGGGCTGGATGATATCAGAGAGTGACTGTAGATAAGAGGGGAGCTCTCCAAGTATTGAGTCCTGGGAATCTCCAACACTGGCAGGTCCAGAGGAAGGGCTGAGAGGCAGGAAGGAAACCAGGAGAGCGTGGTGTCCCTCACCTTTTCCTGCTTGGTGAATTCTTCATGCTGTAAGCTCCTGCTTAAGCATCTCCTCCTCTGAGCAGCCTTCCCTGATTGAGTTAGGGAGTTAGTGACTACCTTTTCTGTGCTCTCCCAGCATTCTGCACGTACCCTCTTGCAGCGTTTATTACAAGGAATTGTAATTCCCACATATTGGTCTTCCCTACTCTGCTGTGTACCACTTAAGGGCACATCCATACCCACGTACCCCACAACTAGCTTGTCTCAGTGAGTACCCAGGGCGTATGTGAGAGTCCAAAAGGGAAAAAAGCCCAATATCAGAAGTGGTCGAGGAAGACTTAACAGAGAAGGTGGGATCTGAGCAGTACCTTCTTGGAAAGCACTGGATTTCTTCCAACAAAATTACAAGAATAGGAGAGAGCATGGCAGGCCAAGACAGAAGAGAACAAACACAAATTATGTCCAAGAGACAGGAATTGGCTCTATTTGGTGAGCCTGCAAGGTTCAGGAAGGGTATAGGGAAGTGAGGTTGGAGCCAGGCTGGGAGGCAACCAACACTAGGCCAAGGACTTGGTTCTTAAACTAGGTTCCTAGGAACACTGGTGTTCCATTATGTTTAAAATGTGACAATTTCATGGTTTCATATAACCTCAAGGCGCTTCCTCAGAGACAATTTTGAGAACCGTTGTTATAAATAACGAGTGGTATAATAATTAAAACTGTCATTTATTAAGTGTTTACTGTGCCAAATGTTCCATGTGGCTTTCTCTCATTCAATCTTACAACAGTTCTGTGAGGTAGACACAAATAGTATCTCTACTTGCAGATAAGGAAATTGGGGTAAAGAGAGGTTAACTTGCCAAGCTTGCAGCTAGAAGTGCTGGAAGGAGGAGCTGGGATTAGCTCAAACCCAGGGCATCTGAGAACGAAACCCAAGGCCTTGCAAGACCCCTAGACTGTTTCTTCCCCTCCTTCCCACGGGCTGTCTGGGGCTGAAGTGGGAGGAAGAAGTCACAAGAACAATGAAGAAAGAGGAGAAGCACCTGAGGTTCTAGGGAAGGTGTCTCCTCCAGACATGTGGGGGGAAGGTCACGGCCAAGGAGAGAATTAGACACGGAACTATAGGCAGATAGAGACCGAGCAATGGAATTGGGATAGGATGTTCTTGAACGCTGAGCTGGAAACTTTCCCTCTGCCTGTGCATTTCTGCCACATGAATCATCTATACCCAGACAGACCTCACTGTTTAAGCCAAGGTCACACTCCTGCCCTCAAGAAGACTGACATGAAGATATGTTGCTGGGGGCGGCCAGGGAAATGACAGGGGGAAAGGCCAGAATGACAGGGCGGCCACGTTCCTAGGCAACACATTACAGGAAACCTGCCCACAGCCCGAGCTATGCCAGCAGCTGCTATGGACCATCACGATTTCCCAAGTAGTTATTGTGGCTATGATTGGAAAGGGGTCGCAGTCACATGTTCAAGATAAATGTAATTTTATTGGCTGGGGTTTATGTCCTGGAATGCTGTAGTCTGGGCCAGGCCCAAGCTACAAGTAAAAGAGGCTTCATAGCAAAGAAATAATGCATCATACTGTATATGCACAGAACATTATTTCAGTTTGCAGAGCCCTGCATAATCTTCATCTCATGTGAGTTGGGCAACAAGCCTGTAAGGTAGTTGAGGAAACTGAGGCACAGAGAAATTAAGTGACTTATGCATCACACAGCAAGTCAATGGCAGAACCATATGTTGTCCCCAAATCTTTGGGTTCCAAGTTAATTCAGGTGTATGAAACTCAAACTAATAAGTGTTTTAACAAGTGATACGAATAAAAAAAGCAAGAGAGAACTCCAAGGAGAAAAGGATAATATTTTATCAATTGCTGTGAGTCTGAAATGTGTGGTGACCACATTTCAAATACCTAACACTTTCTAGTCAAAGCCTTTTCACCTACATTACTTCACAGCACTCCTAGGGAGGCAGGTAGGGAAGTGGTCATTCACAAAGAAACAGAGGCCCAAGAGCTCCCCCTGGAGTTTACTTCTGGTACTGTGCTCCTCCCCTGACCCCAGGCCTGGAAGCATTTAGTGTGGTCAAGCAATAGAAAATGGTCACAGGGCTGTGGTTCCATTTGCTAGATGTGATCTGTCCAAACCAGTGGCTCTCTCCCTGTCTGCCCTCTAGTTCCCCACAGCTTGGGCCCCTGGTTCCACCCCAATGGCTGCCCCGGCCGCCTGTCCACAGCAAGACAACCGCCCTGACCCTCCACCCTGCACTCTCACTGTGCCAGGGCTCTGTGGCTTGGCCATGCAGGCCAGGCCCACATGATACTCCTGGAATAGATGTCATGACCAAACAGATGTGACCACACAGTCCCCCGGGATGACCCCTGGATGCCTCCACGTTGCAACTGGCCCCTTTGCCCTAACTTATTGATGGCTCTGGCCAGGCCCTGTTTTTTCTGGTGCTACCTCTAGGTTCTGCCCGCTGACCCTTACTAATGCCATAAGCTACGTACCTGATGGCTGAGCTGGACATCCTGCCTGGGAACCAAAGCCTGGGAGTCCAAGAGCCTACGGACAGGTCTCTGGATGACAATTAGCCCCTCCTGAAACTGATCATTGCCTGAATTCCCTCCCTCCCCAAAGGGTTCCCCCAGCCTGCCTGAAAATCCTGCTGACTGGTGCCCAGCGCCTGCAGTAGCTTCCGTGGAGTGGAGCCTCCCTGCCCCCTCCGGGACCAGCCTCCTCTCCAGCTGTTACTTCCCTGTCACAGTTTTAGACAGAGGACTAGAAACAACCCTAGTGTTCATTGACAGGAGGACTGATGAACAAACTGCTCACTCACAATGGGCTGTGCAGCCGTGGGAATGAAACGGCACCAGCGATTCCCATGAACACGCATGGAAAGAATGTTACTGTGTCTACACACCTTACAACAGTTCTTATAAAGCTCAAAAGCAAGCAACGCAAACAATACGTCGTTTAGGGATACATTCAGGGTACTGTAAATATTTTTAAAGCAAGGAAGCGATAAACATAAAATTCAGGATAATGGTTGCTTCGGGGGTCAGAATGGGATGGGGAGCAGCATGGTAATTGGAACTCTGGGGTTAGGAGGTGGGTTGGGGATGATTATTTTGTTGCTCTGCCTCATAGCTTTCATATATGTCCGTGTATTCTTTTTTATATACAACTGCTGCAAGATACTTTAAAAGATTAGATGGAGAGGGTCCCAGACTCCATCCTATTACCTTCTTCCCATTCTGGTTTATCTGGTGGCAGGAAACTGTGCCTTCTGGGTGCCATGGCTCCACCTCCCCACCCTCACCCCCGCACACCCCCTCCCGCGATCCTCACCTTCACAGCCAAATGACCTGAAAGAATGCTCTACCCTCATCCTCATTTCCTTCCCTACCACACTCTGGCTCAGTCCCCTAAATTCTGACCCCTGTCTCATCACACTACTGTCTCTTTAGCAGCTTAGATAGTGCCCGGCCCCCTACTCAGCTGGCGGTAAAAATTGCTGAAAGAATGAATGCATAAATGAATGGCAGGCACTGTGGTTTGCAGATGTTGTCTCATTTAATTCTTATAAGATCCTTAATCCTTTAAGGGAGGTACTATTTGTCTCATTTTATAGATGAGAAGAGGGACGTAACTTACCCCAAATCACACAGCTAGCAAATAGAAAACAGAAGTTGGACCCCGATTTAACATTAAAGACCGTCCCAGCAACCACCCCTCCCCACCTCAGGCCACACACCCTCCCCTCATCCCCTACGAGGCCAAGGCTGGGAACTCCCAGCTGGGAACTAGGGTTGGTTACCTGAAAGCATGTGGGCCCCGGCCTCCCTGCAGGGATGTCCGACTGGTAGAAAACTTTGAGCTCTGGAGTCAGGGCAATGACGGTCTTAATCACCAAGGAGATGATATCAGACCAGACCTTCTTGATGTCAACGCCTTTGGAAGACAACCTACAAAGAATGCTAGAAAAAGTCCTTTTGCTGCCTGTGCTAGTGCTGTCCGAGTGGACAAAGTTACCGCTATGGATGTTCAGGGAGTAGTTGGTTAAGTGCATAAAGATGTGGTGCAGGTTTTTGGGAGTGGGCTCCTGGTATGGCTCTGTACAAAATCTGGAGAGTCCATCTTTGGCTATGTAAATCTCTAAGGGGTCTAAGGACTTCAGTAAGACATACAGGCGAATGTCAAACTTGAGCTTGTCGATAAGGAGAGGTTTGCAGATGTATTCCTGGACCACCGCCGGCCTGCGCTGCAGGGTCCCTGCCAGGCGGATGTCACTGGGGTCTTTAATGAGGTAGATTCCGTCACCCTGACAACCACCATCAGGTTTCACAATAAAAGTGGGCTTCCAGGAGGGGTCACCGTCTTTCACCATTTGAACCTGGGGGGAGAAAAGAAAGGTTAGCATGATGTTCTTCTCCTCTATGGACCCCCAAGACAGAGCAGGATATTGGCAAATGTTTAGTAAATGAGTGACAAAGTGAGTCCTGCCTATGTGACACTCACTGAGCACCTGCCAGGGAGATAACACTGTGCTAGGTGCCAACATAGTAACCCAAGGCTACCCCCCAATCTTGTCCTCCAGGAGGGAGATCGAAAGCACAGAGGATTTGCTGTCATAAGACCTGGGTTCGAATCCCAGATCTTTGCCGGTTATTAGCTATAACCCAGAGCAAGTCATATAATTGATGATGATTATTGTTTAAGAGTGCCTACTATGTGCCAGGCACTATATTAGACACTTTACATACGTTATCTAAGAAAGTATGATGGCTCTCCTCTTATGATACAGAAAACAGGAGATGGTGCATCAGTTGTTAAGAGTCTGGGCGTCTCATCAGGCTGCCTGGTCTAGAATCCTGGCCCTGCTACTTACTGTGTGACCTTGGGCAAGTTACTTAAGTTATCTGTGCCTTCCTCATCTGTAAAAGAGGAGAAAGAGTATTCGGAGGATGAATGAGATAATAAATGCAAAGGGTTAAGCCCACAGGCCCTGACACATCCAAGGCAGCCATCAAGCCTAGCTGAGGCTATTTTTCAAAGATGGAATAACTTGCCGGCTAACAGAGGGGCAGAACTGGGATTGAAATCCAGATCAAAGACTCTAATATGCCCTGACTCCCTCCATGTCTCGAGTTCCTCGTCTTAAAAATGGGAATATAAAACAAACCCTCATGAATCACTGAAAAGAAGAAATAAACTAAAATGTGCAAAAGGCTAAGCACAATACCAAACACAGAGCCAGTGTACAGAAATGCTAGTTTCATCATTTATATCTCTTATTAGGCTCACCTAGTAGACGTAGCCAATCCTTCAGTCTATTGAGACTTTTATGAAACTAGATTCTGCCATCCGTAATATTTGCTGTCCTACCAGCTCCAGGTCAGCAAGACATTCACATAATTATCCAGGCCACCTGACCAGTCCAGACAGTCAGTCTGGATCCAGGTCTGCATAATTCATATGCTTCCAATTCCCCCGGACCCTTGTCATATCCTTCATGCAGCTATGGGGAATGTATGGGCTGAACGCCATGAGAGGAGGTTTTCACAGGGGGCGGGGTGAAGGGGCTGGAGGAAATTGAAGGGTGGGCTTTAAAGCCACTCTCTCTGCCACATCTGGTGAGAAAGAGCCCAGGAACAGGCGTTCCTTCCATTCTGAAGGGTGTAACTCAGAGTGCAGCGGCATGCCCCAGTGCTGGGCTCGCCTTGGCCTCCACCTTTGCTGTGTAAGCCCAACCCAGGACATGTGCACTCTGGGTTTTACTTATCTCTCTGACCTGCCTATATTTCTAAGTGAAGCTTTTGCCAATTCCTTGGGCACTATCAGTTACTCCAGGCTTGTAAGAGATCTTTAACAATGGAGAAACACTTAAAGCCTTAATAATGGCCCACATCAATTTTTTCCCCTTGTCAGCAGGATTTGAGAATGGAACCTCACCAGAGATCAATGCAAGCCTCCCTGGGCCCTCCACCAAGCCTTTCTTGCAACTGTGACCTTGACGTTGATGTGTAGTTATTTAATATTCATCCAAAGCATTCATACGTTTGGCCCTTTACAGTAAATAGAAGTGTGCTGGAGAAATGGCAGTTATGGATCAGGAAGTGAAAAATGTCAGGCTTGCACTGATGGGTAATTCCTCCCTCTGGAAAGCTTTTGCAATGCTGAAGATGCTAACAGTTTAATATATTATCAGGAGCAATATTTTCTCCTTTGAATCCAGTATATGCCTTAAATAAATTAAACTACATGGTCAATAGTCTCTGCCATTCATTGCATTACTGGATATTTCTTTTGCTCTTTGCCAGAATACCACCATACAAATCAGGATTATTAATACTAACAGAATCGCTGAATTTTTAGAACTGGAATGATCCTTGGAGATCAGCACAGCCTGGTCCTCTATAATTTAAATGCCGAAGCTGAGGCTCTGAGAGGTGACATTTAGCCAGTTGGGTCCCACAACTGGCTAGGCAGTGATGGCGAACCTATGACATGAGTGTCAGAGGTGACACACGAACTCATTTTTTTGGTTGATTTTTCTTTGTTAAATGGCATTTAAATATATAAAATAAATATCAAAAATATAAATCTTTGTCTTACTATGGTTGCAAATATCAAAAAATTTCTATATGTGACACGGCACCAGAGTTAAGTCAGGGTTTTTCAAAATGCTGACACGTCGAGCTCAAAAGGTTCGCCATCACTGGGCTAGGGGGATGGTTAGGTTGAAAGCTGAGGTCTTCTCACCCCACTGCACATTCCTTGTGCCACTTTTACCTCTGATAAGATAAAATCAAAGGTTCTTTTTCCCCTGAATACTATAGGAAAGATTCTCTTAATGTAGCAGGCACGATTGGTCTCTGTCCTCACATTACAGAAGGTAGCCCTGAGCACTGCCTCCTTGGAACTGGAAGCACAGACCCCGAGTTTGCCAGGACCTCTGTCTGGGTTCCTGGCACAGCCAATGGGAAAGCCAGAGAGTTGGGCTGAATGTGGTTCCCCAGCCCTCAGACCTTTCAGCAACTTCTATTTTAAAAAAGGAGAGAGATTTTCCAAAATTTCAAATCCATTCTCCTCTGAGGTTTTACTCAAGGGTGACCCTTTCCCCCCAGCTATTTAAAGTTATTAATGTTAAGAACTAATGCATTGGTTCTTAGCAAGAAGTCATGGACCAGAATCTAAATATAATCTATATAACGAGGCCCCAACCCCCCAAATTCTGATGTAATAGATGTGGGAAAAGACCTGGGCAGGCGTATTTTGGAAAAAGCATGGTGGGTGATTCTGATGTTCACTCAGTTTGAGAGTCACTGGACTAATGTGACTTAACTAAAAAGATAATCTGGGATTAACATACTAAATGAAGTTTTCTGCATCAATGTCAGCCTGAACATGAGGAAGACCTGCACTTAGGCTAACGCTGATGGTATCTCCATTTTTACCCAAACCTGCTGTTGGCTGTGAAATCCATTATCTTGTAACTGTATGCATTGATGGCTGAAAGAGATAACCATGAGGATGTGGTGGCCTGATTGCTTGGCAGTCATCAGGCCTGTTAAAAAATTTATGTGTCTTTTACCGCCCCCTAGTGGATATTTAAGAAATATAACTGGGACATTTCTCCCATTCCCCCATTCAAAATTACGACTCTTCTTAGCAGTAAGACACTATTAAGATGTTAAAATTGTCTCAAAGAAGCACCACTAAAAAGCCGTGGTACCGTTAGGGTAAGATTATACTTTGGGATGGACTCATCTCTAAAATGCCAGGGATATCCAAGGTCACATTCATTTTCATACTCTGTCTTAACTATTTTCAGGGGTCCTCCCTACTACACAGGTTGATCTACGTATTTAAATTCTCTCAGCCTATATAAACTTTTACAATTTGGGTAACATGAGTATGAAATTCTGGAAATACATGCCATAAAAAATCAGCAATTTGTATATTCCTCATTGAGCTTTTTTTGTATTTTCTAAACTTTCCATTAGAAAAAAAAATAGCAATATCAGGCAGCAGTGAGTGCCTCTAAATATAAAGATTTTCATAAGGAATAGCTTTTGGTGAACAGATAGTTGTACTTCTCTGTTCATAGCAGCATTGCTCACAATGGCCAAAGGTGGAAACAACCCAAATGTCCATCAGCAGAAGAAGGATAAAAAAAAAATGTGGTGTGTACACACAATGGAATATTATTCAGCCATAAAAAGGAAGGAAATTCTGACACCTGCTACAACATGGATGAACCTTGAGGACACTATGTTAAGTGAAGTAGTAAGCCAGACATAAGAGGACAAATACTGTATGCTTCCACTTATGAAGTACCCAGTGTAGTCAAATTCATAAAGACAGAAAGTAGAATGATGGTCGCCAGTGACTGGGGGAGGGAGTTAGTGTTTGATGGGTAGAGTTTCAGTTCAGGAAGATGAAAAAAGTTCTGGAGATGGATGTGGTGATGGTTGGACAACAATGTGAATGTACTTACTGTCACTGAACTGGACATTTAAAAATGATTAAGATGGTAGTTTTATGTTATGCATATTTTCCCACAATTTTTATAAAGTTGAAAAATGTTTAAAAATAGAAAAGAAATAGCTTTTGGTGTAATAGAAAGACTATTGAAGCGAAAGACAGAAAATCTAGCTCCTATTCCCACTTTAGTCAGATGACCTTGAGAGTGCCCTTGAAAGAGTCACCTGACCTCCTGGCCTCTGTTGTACTCACCTATAAAATAAAGAGGCCACACTAAGGTCCCTGGCTTCTGCCAGCACACAAATTCTAACAACGATTTATCTTGACATCACCACAGTTGAAAGCTGTGCTATAAACACGTAAGTGACATTAGTCGGTGGGGAGTTCATACTGAGTTGCTGTGAGCAGCGCCTCGGGATAATCTACCAGAGCAGATCTGGATGGGAGATTTACGATGCACTTGAGGAAGTTGGCTGGGCATCTGGGGAAGCAAGCTAAAATATTTTGAGAGAGAAATTCAGCAACAGGAATACGAAGCCATAAAGCACTATTAGCAGTGAGGGGCAGGTAGGAGGATGATTTCTTAAGAAACTGTATCTGCAATACCTGGGAAGTCAAAGCCAGTTAGAGGAGTCCTCTATCACTCAGATGGATGTATATCCCATCTTAGCAACCCAGGCCCTTCATGGCACAGGTACGGGCAGAGCTTAAGTAAAAACAAGCCTCTGGGGAGACAAACATGTCACAAAGCACATGCTGGACATGGTGCAGGGACCAGCCCTTTCCCCTTCCGGCTTCAACAGGCCGAGCCTCACACTCAGGGCAAATCCCTGCTCCCAGCATCAGGCAATTCCTGAGTCAGTTGAAAATTAGGCTACCCAGGGCCAGACTGTGAGGTAGCAGCTG